CTGAGACCTGTCTGGAACCAATTTACCGAGCCCGGAGGGATGGATGGCTTGCTGAGCCATGAGCGCGAGATCGAACCATTGACCACGTGTGCGACGCAGGGCACATCTAACCACTGCGCCACATGACTCTCTAGCATCTAGGTAGCAAATCTAAAATAGATAAACTAAACCTTTAGGTTTACATGTGGCAGAAAAAATACAGCAAAAAAGATTTTGATGTGGCTGTCACAATCCTAGCGCAGAAAAACATCCACGAGCAAAACTCTTGAGGCATTTTGGATAAACGCTCAAAATCCCGAAATGAATCGGAAGGACGAATGCGTCACCATCACGCGAGATCTCGCGCCCTTTCTTCGTTTGATCTTCTAACTTGACCTAGGCAGCATAAAAATAAGACCATCCGAATCATTCAAATAGACTAATACTACATGCGCCCAGAGCTCTGAAGAAGGCCGATCGCCGAAACGTCAGCCGAATTTCTACTACTACTTTACCAACCTCGCGTCAGTAATCAAGATAAGTTTTCTCGATTTTCATATATCAGATTGATTATGCCGAGGTTTATAGAAAGTCGAACTTCTGAATTATCTAAGAAGAACCATTATCGACCAGTTGTTTCAGGCCCATTGCCCAATTACCTTGTATAGGATAAGTTACCGACGTGTTGGTGATCAGTGACGTCTTCTGCTTTGAGAATTATGCTATGGAATGATGTTGCTGTTGTATATGACAGCTTCACGTTCAAACGAACCGATTTAGATAGGACTCGATATCTAACATTTGGCTTTCACATGAGCTGAATACATTCCGTCAAACAAATGTGATTCGTTCACTACCCAGTTTAAAAACATTTAGAGAGGAAATCTCTCCAAGATAAGCTGATAAATATTTTAGTCATAGGTTCCAAAAATGACTAACGAGGTGATTGCGAATGAATATAACTTCTCTAGGCTTTAAAGGAGAAGTCATTCAGCAAAACTTGTCAAAATGGAGAAAATTGCGCAAAAGCTTGAGTCGGCCTTTGGAGGCATGTGCATTCCACGCGTATGCCACGTGGAACGTACATATACACACACATGCACGCACACCCTCACGCTTCGGAGAGAGATTTGCTAGGATATTCATATTCTAAATAAAAACTCCGTTGATATCTCATCAACTCTGACGATAACTGAGTACGTAAAATGTACTGTTGAGTAAAAAAGCAATAAAAAAAAACCATAATAACCACGTCTCGTGCCAGTTCTGTACGTATTTTCCATGCACTTCTGCAGTCAAAGGACCTCTGTACTTTACAAACCAGAAATTACCCCTGTTACATCAGTTTGAATGTTTTCGTTGTATTTCAAGTGACTTGTCCAAAACAGCGTTTATAGCGCATGTTATTCACCCGAATTGTAAAATAATCTCATCAGACAAAAAATGGAAATTGCTTCGTTTTCAGCCGTGACAAATATCCTATCAAATCAATAGTTCAGAAATTTTACAGTCACCGAAAAGCTGGTATACAAATCTTCTACTTATAAAATATTGTTTAACGGTTCACAGAAACACTACACATTAGTAATGTGATCACCTTAACTTCTAGCGAAGCCTAAGAAACATCAAAAAGGGTTTTTGTTAGAGATTTCTTCTATGAAACTGCGCATATTATTGGTTAAAAAAAATCTAGCAGTGTTATTTTTTATAGTTAATCATTCCTTTTAAAAAAGGATTTTTGGTAATAATTTTTGTGCCTTGAGGTTGCTCCGTTGCTTATCAAAAGTTTTTGAACTGAGCTTTGAAAATAGGACGCTTTGGAGCGAGGTCTAAAATTAGGAAACACTCGCAGATTGTTCTGCCTGCTGAATCAAAGCTGGAAATTAGTCAGCCGCCCAAGATTGGGAAGCCGACTAGGTGCAAAATGGAAAAACAGATTACATGGAGATCTCGAATATTATTGTTAGAACTTAGAAAAGTAAGTGTTGGGTCTTAACGGCTATCGATGGCTAAAGCACGTTATTGACTGAGCCATAAGGGTTTTATACGCATAGGAGGGGACATGGCAGATACCAACCATACTGATGCCTGATGGATCACAGGCAGACGACTTAAGTTTTTCCATGAAACATATTAAAAGTTTGAATTCGAAAAGGCTGCGAAAAAATATAATAATTAATGAGATGGTAATGAGAGAAGATTCAATGAGATGAGGGATGGCATTATGGAGCCATTAGTTAAAAGTGATTGGCGCGGTGACCTTAGATGCCTCTTTTGAACTTTCGTCAAACATCATTCCAAACAAGGAACACCTCTCGATTACAACTATTACTTAAATTGGAAAGTTTCCAAAAATCGCAAATGGGGCAATTTATGGGAATATCACGATAAAAGTACAGAAGATGACGCAACACGTTTGTGGACTGATTTGAAAACCACGTTCCATCATCAGGTGACCAGCAGGCATCAACGTTGCAATGATAATGACCTTCTCCTGCTGATTCAAATCTGCGCTCCTTTTATTCTTTCGAAAATTCTCAGTACAAGACAAAGAGGCGAAGGAAATAGAAAAATTTCCGGTAACAAAAAATCTGTGAAAGCGCGCTTTCTACTGATTATGAAAGATAGAACTCTCGCGTCGGTCAATCCCTGAGAGAAGCGTCATGCAATTTTCTTCAATTTTTAATTTCGTTTGAGGCGAATACTATGTGGCCTTCACAATGACTCGCAGTGACCCATCTATGTATCAGGTCAGTGCTCTATCCTCACACACAAGTCCGATAGCAATTCACCAATCTCGGAGGGATGGAAAGCTTAAGTTTGAGTGCGGGTTCGAAACATCGACCATCGACTGATCGATTCTGAGTGCCACAGAGCATCCCTGACCACTTCGCCACACGCGCGTCTTACTACTGATTGAAGGAAATATTTTCTGTAAATGTTCCAAGTCCGTAGATGAATTCAACAACGTTGACATGGAAGAACTTTGAGAGAGCATGAAGAAAAGTATCCATGATGAGACGCTTTCTGCATATCAAGCACTAATAGCAACAAATTCTGTCGGCTCACGAAGAAAACGGATCTCCATAGAATATTGGCTGAAGTGTAATAGAAAAGGGGAAGAAATTTCCTCTGTTACTACTCTGGCTTACGTGCCTGCAAGCTTTCAGATGAGTCCAATAAATGATGCAACTAAGGTGGAAATTTTCCTTTCCTTAACAGTTGTGTGTGCAAGCGACAAACTAATTCATACACGGCAAAGCTTGTTGTTTAGACCGAATTTTCAAAGTCATCAAGGGGGGAATAACATGCCGTTCTGAGAGATAAAGCTTCTCTTCTGTGTTTTTACGCATTATCTGGCTTCCTGACTCTTCCTCTACTGACTCTTCCTTGCGATTCTAAGCGCGATGTGTTTCCGACAGATAGCAATGGCAGATGGAAATGTCGGAAATAAAAAGTTTCAAATGTAGGAAATCAAAACTTACAAGGATAACACAGCGTTCTCGGTATGTCAAATCTCGTAGTGGATCATGAATCATGTACTGAGGAACATTCACTTATACTTGCTAGTTATGACCCTTTCCCAATTCACGTATTTGGCTTTATCCTCTCTATAGGCATGAGAATTGAGTATGTTTCTATTACTATATATTTTTACGTGTATGTCGTCATAGAAAAAAACACATTGCTGTTAGCGTTTGAAAAGCTATGCAGATAACATTCGAACACTCATATTTGTAGAATAACACGAGTCATCATAGCATATGAAATTACTCAACATTCAGTTGCCTTGTGAACTACTGCTCAATGAGATCTTTCGAAGAAGGCCATTTGTTTACCGTGAAGCTTAGAATGGAACTTATCTCAGACAACGGTCGCTGCATGTGTGGTGGGTAAACACTTGATTGTTCACGTAAAATTCACGAGATTCTGTGCACAGACATAAATCATCAGACGGAGAATAATCCATACAGAAGTACTGTAGGTCGCTCGGGTTCGCATCTCATGTACGATTACTTCCATACAGCCCGTCATGGGTCAGAGTGTAATAGATTAGAAAAAAAAAGACAATCTGATCTGCCACTGTTTTCGTTTTGATTTCAGAATTTTGACAAATAGATACGAAACCAATATGAGCCGTTATGACGCATACGTTTCCAAGTAAGCTGAACTAGATGAGATGTGCAAAATGCATTTTCGTTTTGGCCGTTCATTTTGCGCATAAAGATTTTTTCCCATACTTGTAGCAGACGTATACTGGAATATCTGGACTGCCCTTATTTGAATTTGCATTGCTATGACGAATCATCGATATTCTATATGAAAGAGAGGGGTATAAAAAAGTGCAGATACCGATTAAACGCTAGCTGTGAAATAGTAGCAACAATGATTTTACATGACTGACCATACTCACATCTTAAGGGTAGGATGCATGCCTCCAATATCAGTAGTAGCAGAGCAAAGTCTTCGCTACGATTCTGTTATGTTCTAAAATTTCTATTCCTTCGATTTTAAAAATTCAGCAGTCCATTGTCAAAGACAGCAGCTTTCCAACGATATGAAATTAGACGTCGTCCCAATGGTTCCCACACAAAATAGGGCTTCAGTAGGGATGAGTTAAACAGACAAAATGAAAATAAGTTAGTAAAATATAGCGATAGCAGGAATTTAGCCAACCTTGGCTCAAAGGTCCAGTAGGTCTAATGGAATATTAACACGAGCGGACTACGGCCTTTTACGCATGCCATACCCGAATAGGCAACTGAATCGTGTTTGATGAAAAGCAGCTTAACAAACCCAATGGTTTATGCAGGTCATGTCATCAACAAATAAGCGATGATCGTGTGGGCCACGTGAATGGACGATAAGTGGTTGGCAAAGGTCAATTATAATCGGAGCTAATTTGAAAAAATAAATACCATCAAGCCGACAGGTGGCACAGGTTAAGTGATACGATGTAGGTAACGTATCTTAGTAATGTGAATTGTAAAATGCATGTTGTAAAATAAATGGTAGAACGGGCAACGGTAGTGCAGTGGTCAGCACGCACGTCTGAGATGGGTGAGATACGTGTTCGAATCCCTTCTGACGTTCTAGGTTTCGCAAATCACTCAACAACAATGGATATACATTTGTGCCATCATACCACTCCGAAGAGCGATTAATGAAAAAAATTATAATTTTAAAATGAGTGTAATGTAAAAAGGCGATAGAGATTGCTGTGTCAGAAGGCACATCGTGCTAATAGCTGTTGATACTCTCATGTAACGACTGAGACACTCTTTAGGAATCTCTCAATGACCTTATCGCTTTTTTCTCCTAACGAAAAGCCTTCCCTAAGGGTCGAGCCTTGATGTCCAAGTAGAGAATTTTGCTGGTCTTCACTTACGAAACTAAATTCAAGGCATACTTTCTTTGGCAATAGTAGTCTCCCAAGCTAAATGACTCCGCTCAAAAGTAGTTTTTATAATCTCCAAAGTTTAAAAAATAGCGTTTCAGTTGCCAGTTTAGATATTTTGTCTACGTTTGACATTAAACATATACCGAAAGTATTTTCAAAGATTTTTTCAAACTGTTAACACGTCTGAACCAGTCTTGAGTCATATGATTTCTAATGTATCACATAGGCTTCCCTCGATGTGCCACGTTTTTACCGTAGATGTGATTGGGACAGAAATGTGGTGAAGAACTGCTAGTGACTGATGATTGAAATGCAACTGAAGAGCAATTATCTGTTATCAGCTGATAGAGCGATAAAGCACTTTGCAAAAGCCAGCGTGATGAGTGAGATTCATTTTCAATCGCAGCTCCACGGAGAACGGAATATGAAAGGTAAGATGTGCGATAAAATGATATTCATAGCGTCCACCGTTTCAAATGTCAATCACGCCGTTATTCTTCTTCAATTCGAAAGGCCTTTTGGTATCCCTTGCAGAGTGATGTTGTACCCTCATCATTTTATACAAGGCCACTGTGACACCTATTACGTAGCTGTTTTACACATGCCGATGAATTCTCAGCCACCTCGACATTTATGCAGACAATACTGATATGCAGGCTTAATATCGATAAAGGATAATGGATAATGCCGCGGCGTTTATCAATTCTTGAGGAGAAACGGCATGTACTCTTCTTCAGTTTTTAGCTTCGTTCGAGGTTATTGAATGCAAATTTGGCCTTTACAACGACTTGAGGTGGCCTACTGGTGTATCAAACCAGTGATGTTTATCCCCATCCCCCAGACAAGTTTGGTACCATTTTACCGAACCCGCACGGATGGAAGGCTTGGTAAGCCATGAGGTCGAACTATCGACTTTGTGAGCGACATAGAGCACCTCTGACCATTTCGCTACATCCGCTGCCGTTGATTTTAATATCTGACCATATTTCATATGTTACACTTATGGCGAATTAAGAACTCTTCTTTAAGACTTGATAAGTTGAGCAGATAATTGTGCATTCGCCTACTGCATATGGACAGTGTGCCTTTCCTTGAGAGCTTTGATGCGGTCTTTTCGAGCCATTCTTAGCTCGTCATCATAGACTGCTATTTACACATTTGAATAAAAAAATGAAAAGCTTCAATATCATTAGGATTCTTAAACAACATTATCACGCTATAAGTCGATAAACCAAACGTGAATCAATACCGTATCTGATCTTTGATAACTGAATCAAAGGAGAGCTACAGCATTAAAAGTTGATTACTACATATATCAGCTTAAAAGGTGTGTGCGTGTGTTGTGCGCGTGTGTGTGTGTGTGTGTGTGTGTGTGTGTGTGTGTGTGCGTGTGTTTATATATGCATGATCTAGTATGCCTGTGTGTCGTGTGTGTGTGCATGTGTGTGTGTGTGCTGTGTGTAGTGTGGTGTGTGTGTGTGTGTGTGTGTGTGTGTGTGTGTGTGTGTGTGTGTGTGTGTGTGTGTGTGTGTGTGTGTGTGTGTGTGTGTGTGTGTGTGTGTGTGTGTGTGTATGATGTGCTGTATGTGCTATGCGTACATATTGTGCACACGTGTATATGCGTGTACGTGTGTGTGTGGTGTAAGGCGTGTGTGTGTGTGTGTGTGTGTGTGTGTGTGTGTGTGTGTGTGTGTGTGCCTGTGTGCAGAATCAGACTCTCAGCATTGGTTGACGTTCCACAAATTTAACACTTTTTTGCATCACATTCTGGAATCCAGTCATTATGAAAGTAAAATAAATTCCTTTAAAATGATGAAATGGCAAACTCATTCGGCCTACGCTCACATTTTCTGCTGATTGAACTACTGCGCGACTTATTTGCAATCGCAAAATTGACGAGACTCCAAAATTGCATTTGTTTCGCTATTCAGAAAAATTCACTGAATAAAAATAGTTTATTCAAACTCAAGAGTAATTTATTGTCGTCACGCTCCTAAGCAACAAAACGAGAAAGTAAATTAACTTCGACTTGAAACTCCAGTAAATTTATCTTTGAATTTATCAAATCTATAAATGTGAACGAACACTGTAACTGATAATAAACTGATTTTACCATCACTTCATTTACAGCATTAATCGGTCTGCTGATTCTTACGGCATCGGCAGATGCGTTGAGATGTCGACTGGGTTTCGGAAAGCGAAAGGCATAATACAAGCACTTCGTCAGAGGTACGTATACTTTCTCATTGCGGATTCCTTTGTCGTTATTCAATGTCCGAATTCTGTGCAATCGTGTGCTCTCATGAACGACTTCAACTGAAATTTGTTGTTGTTGTTGAGCAGAAAATGCTTATTGTAATCTCTAAAACCCGGTAAAACCTCGCTTTTTTTAGCCAGGCGTTGCGTGTTTGTACATAGCATTTCCGTGTGACTTCAAAAGAGACGATATGTACATTTTCTACGACGGTGGTGACAAGGTACGTTGAAAATAAAGGTTCTAGTCGTGCGAAGCGATATAAGAATTAACTAACGATCAGTATCTAAAATCGACTTTCATTGAACTGGGGCATGAATAATTACTACATCTCTATATCATCAATCGAACATTAGGCTGGTAAAGAAGGGTGATTTTTACCAAAACGTTTCGGAGCTTTCACCTCCTTGAAGGCCACGCTGATCAGAGACGATGGCCCACAGATTGCCATTGTCGCGATGTGGGGTCGCTTACGCTGCATTGAGTTGGTATAGGTTCAGGAGTTAGCACTCGAATGAAACTTCTACACTCAAAGGCGTCATTTTTGTACAAAGTGAATTTGATGGATGTTCTTGTTCAACATAAGCGACCTTTTAGGCAGACAATGCTTTGTAGTAAACGGTATTAAGTTACGATATAGTAGACGAAACATTAATGATATAGATAAAATTTCTGTTAGCAATTTTGTATTACATAGTAATTTTAGAAGATTAAAGGGCAACGCTACTTCTTCGCCCTATGACAGTTTTTCTTATTCAGTGATTCACCGAAAATTCTCTATTAGATACCGTCGGTGATGTCTTCTTTCTTTTGAAGTACTTCATGAAGAAAAATAATTTGTTACCTCTAAATTGAATAATTCGTAACTCTCTTGGAAATTCGACATAGTCTCATAGGAATTTTTAAGCCTCTCATGAGGTCTGCTTTAGCACTTTTGTGTCAGATTTACGTTTTGGCTTTATTATAGCAAGCCTCATCAATAGCACATGCCATTCGACGAAGCGCCCACTGCTATAGAGGATCGGCACCGGAATGTTACACTCTCTCTCAAGTGAAAACATCACCCAAAGTGATATTCCTTTAAAGTGATTGTTAGTCGATTGTATTTGCACGACTTACGGCTGTTTAGCCGGTATTTACATCAATAATTTTCGGTAGACTCTCTTGAGAACCCCGTTTAGAAATTCAGTTTGGTCTGGTAGAATGTTAGCTACTCTGAAAGAACACCACTTTGGGTGATCTTTGCACCTGACGCAGAGCGCAACATGTTCGATTCCTATAACAGAGAGCGGGTAACCAAATGACAAGTGCTGCTGATGAGGCTTGCTAGAAAGTAGTAGTAGTGCGAGTGCGACGTACGTCTCATCTTTCCTCGCAGGACCTCAGGAAAGGATTAGACATTTCATCAGAAAATATTTTCTCGAGAATAATTCGTCGTAAAATGCTGATTTAAGGATATCTTTGAAGGATCCTTAGTTATTCTCTTGTGTAATGTAGCTGACTGCACCAAACTGGGAAGCACAGCAATTAAGGCACTAACACTTTACAGCGAGATATTGGAACGACACTCTTGCTCTATTAGATTGTAGAGTGTTACATGGAGAGATCGATGATGAAATATAATTAACTCAAATTCAAAGTCTGTGCACTTGCAGTATAAGGATGAATGCTCAGCAACGGGTCCAGTGGAGTGTTACTGTACGTACGACAACTGCAATGAGGACTACAACTATTTGAAGGTGACGTTTATTAGCGTTCCAAAAAACCAGAAATGATAGCGGAAATGCCAAGAAATTTCCAAAAGTTCCATGGCACACTAAAGTGAAAAACTAACGAGACGTTAGAGTACTCACCTATGTCGCTTGATACGACACTAATCTAGAAAAATGGTCCGTCTTTGCTAGCTCAGAGGATAAAGCGTTCATTGCAGTAATTGCTGCATATTTAGAAACTTTGGATCGAAAGTGGGATTAGTAACAAAACTCTGCTTCAGTGTATGGCGGACCATCTTCAAAATAGTAAGCGATTGTTGAAATGTCAAGTTTTAGACCGCTTTTGGAAGAAGTTATATAATTTTTTCACAGTCTTTGATGCTCACTTTAGAGGCTGGAAACTTGAGGATTCTGAGAAAGAGAGTCGATGGGGTAAGTTGCCACTCCCTTCGGTATCACAGAACGTTACATCACTCATAGCGACATTGCCACAGTATTTTTGCCTAAACACTTCTTTCACTACTGAATTCTAATTTCTCCCCTATGTAATCTATTCGTGAGTATTTGCTGTTAATACGTTTAGCACCCACATTCATACAGTTATAGCTCATTTGTCATTGAGTGTTGATTGTTTCAGAGCATAAAGGACGTTTCTACATCAGATAATGATGCAGGTGAGTTTCCAGGAAATGATAGCATAGAAGAAATAAAAGATCGATAAAACCTGA